CACCTGCCTGACACCCCACCTAATGCCAACCAAAGATGTTGTTTCCTAGTCTTCTAGATCTGTTTTGGTATAGGTTCTTATATCTTGTTCAGTTGGATTGTATTAGTAGGATTCAGACGTTGTCTTGTCTGAGTTTCCTTAAGCCATATTAGGTCTTGACTATATTCCTTCACAACCCTGGGTTACCTTGCTCCCTGGTGTAGATCTCTCTCTCTCCGATCTATACTTGCCACAGTTCAGATGTCTGTTTCTCCTTTTCTCCTTAGGTCCTTGCTTGGTCCACTCTTGTCTGGAGATGTCTGGAGTCCACAGCACCATTTCAGGTAAGTCTGTCAGCTTTCCTGAGCTCAACTTATTTTCAGAGGCCCCTCCCTTGGGTAGCCACCACTTCTCTTCAGTGGGGCTCTGCTCTGCTCCAGGCCTCTCTGAGCCCCCTGGGGAATCCAGTTCTGGTCCCTCCTGTTTGTCCACCACCAGGCTTTTTATCCTGGCTCCAAGGGGCCAGGTGGTGAATTGGCACTGGCACACCACCATAAAACACACCCATGCCAATGTGGGAGCTGATCCCAGCTCCTCCCAGACTCGCTGTTCTTTTTTTTTTCCTTTTCTTCTGCTGCGGCATTTTTCCCTGCTGCAGCTCCACTTCTGGTGTGTTCCCAGCTCAGTATGGTGCCCTACCATCTCTGCTCATTCCCCGCTCCAGGTAAATTTATCTTTGTGGCCTTGTGCCTGCCTCACATCCATTTCTACACAGAAGTAAAGTCCCACAAGCAGCTGGAGAAACAATTTTTCTACTTTGAAAGAACTGCAATGATTGGCATGGCAGTAATTTTATCACATTCAGTCCCAATTAAATTCTTATATCTCAATTAATGCCGTTATTTTGCAGTATAAGACAGTGTTTGTCCCCTTGGACATGATGCTTTAACTCCTGGTGAGCCAAACTAAAGTACGTCCAAGGAGTTTTACTTTAATGCACAAGAAAGACTTTTAAAGCATCTGGAAAGCCTGCTCATGCAAACAGACATGCAGTTGCAGCACATGAAAGGGCAAAAACCATGGTGTGTACATACGCCCATTATGCTCAATGAGGCCTGGAGCTAGCAAACCCTGTTCAGGGATACAACTCTTTAAAAACAAGTAGCTTTTAGAAGCCTGCTAGAATTTCAGCATAGTTCCAGGAAGGAACCTATAGAGACAGTGCATGAAAAATAGTGTAGTTTGAGCCCAGGGTTAAGGCCAGTGACTCAGGAGAACTTGGGGTTGTTGCAGAGCTGCCCGGCACAGAAGCAGGTGGTAAGTAGGATGGCAACATTAGAACACAGACAAACTAGAAGTTCTGAGGGGAAAAAAGGATTTGGGTATAGAAGGGCTGGAGGAACTGTGTTGATTTTGTGGGGACTTAATGGAAGGCTGGGAAGAACCCTATGATAAAGCTCCTGACTGTGAGTTAATTAGAGAACCAAAAGGGGTACTAAGGTTGGGTGATTGCTGTGACACACTGCAGGAAAAGAAATAAGATACTTCATAAGAACATAGAAGTGGAAAGAACCATTCAGGTAATTGAATCTAGGCTCCTGCAGTCACAAGCAACAAATACCCAACATTTGTCCTCAAGGACATTTACTCCAGGTTCAGCCAGGTGCATTCTCCAGAAAAACTGGGCTCTTTTGCACAAACCAAAAACTGTGGTATGCTCTAGGAAGAGACCCGGCTAGATTAAGTCACCACAAATGCTGTTTACAGTGATCTAGATTGCAGCCTATGATATGCAGCATTTACAAAGCTAACAAATGTTTCCACCTTGCTCTGTTGGGAGAATTCTACTTTCACCTGTACCAGCATCATGGATATGACAACCAAAACCACCTAGTTCTTCATTCACATACTGAAAATATAATAATGATGTTAAGATCATTACATGAAAATGCACCTTGATGTATCCTTCCCCCTGAATGGTGTCCATGATCTTTAATTACCTAAGTGTGTTTACTCTGGTTCATGGATGTGTGTTATATGGAAACCTTGTTAGGAAAAAGGTAGGATCTGGAAGAGGCAGAGAACCAGTGGAAAATATTTAATACAGTTACAGCAACTGAATGGACAAAACATGTTTTTGTGGTTCTAAAATCTTTCCTACTTCTATTGCCAAGTATAGCAAATTAGCTGTTTCTGTTCACTGGGCCACTTCTTCACACTATGCGAAAGGAAACATAGCTTCAGTCTTCCTTTACTGGAAAAACATTTTTGGGGAGGGAGAAGACATTCATTATACCCATCACAAAAGCACTTCATGCTATTCAAATTAGCTATGACTTTTATTATCTACACAATGTCTAGAGATGCATGTACATTAGCTTTAAGAACAGGCTCAGTTGAAATTAAGAACCCCTCTGGTCCCACACAAGGATTTATTGTGTTCTGCATCACTATCAAGTTATATTGGTGGGTTGAGAAGGTGTGGGCTTTAATGCATACTTCTCTATTTTCTCTGTTCAGGAAATCTGACACTTTTGAAGAATTGTGTTTGGAAAAGGTCAGTTTGTATCACAAAGGTGTCAGAAGCTGAGAGAGATGAGGGGTCATGTCATTTGATTTTTCATATTCTAATCTTCACTTGTTCATTTTAGTTGTGTCTTCAAAATCATACTAGAATAGGGGTGGGCAGTTATTTTGGCTAAAGGGCCATTTAACGAGTTTTGGTGAGTTGTTGATGGCTGCATACACAAAATTAATGGCAAATATATTTTAACAAATTATAGATAAAAACAAATCATATGCTTAAAATCAACATGTACTATCAAATATTTTAATTTTATTTCAAAGAATAATTTTTGTCCTGATTCATTTGGGGGTGGGGTGGGGATTGAGTAGTGTATATTTAGGCGATTGGATAACAGCTCGAAATAAAGTCTTGCTCTTATACATTGAAAATTAGCTTACAGAAAAACAAAGAAAATCCCTTAGTGGGAAGAGTGAAGCCTCTGATGTGCATTAAACAGAGAATCGAAGTCAGGCATCATCTCTGTTGTTGCAATGCAGCACTGCTGCAAGGTGGTCATTGCTCATAGAAGACCTTCATTTTGATTTATTGAATTTCATCACAGAAAATGTCTGCTCTCATATATATGTTGATTCAAACAGCACAAGCATCTTCCAGGCATGAGTCTTGATCTTTGGAAAGTTCTGTTAATTGAGAGAGGCATAAAACCTAGGAAGCAGCACCGATTTGAATAAGCTCAAGTTGGAGGTCACATGGAACATTGTCAACATCAAATATGAAAGGTGAGGAGACCAAAGACAGGTTATTTTCTATCCTTTGAAAATCCTTGAATCAGTGAAAATATTCATCATGCAAGTTGTGTAGTGTATTTTTTCAGGGTTTGATTGCAGTCATCTGCCGCAATGTAGGAGAATGTGTGAGCTCTCTATTTCCTATCTGACAGAAGAAAAGGAGTAACTTTGTCATAAATGATGTGACACTGAAATGCAATTCATGATCAAGAAGCCCCTTCCTTTGTAGTCCTGAATTCAGTTTGTTTATGTGGCCCACGATATCAACAGCAAATGCAAAATCAGAGAGCCAGTCCACATAGTTCAGCTGTGGGAAATCTGAATCTTTTTCTTTCATGTTAAAAAACAAACCAATCTTGGCTCTCTGTTTCCACACTCTCCAAAATGTTACCCAAACTTAGCTCTCTTATGTTGGTATGATCTGAACATCCGTGGGTTCAGATTCTGATTCCTCAGTTACAAATTACCTGTGGCTTATTCCTCTCGCTCGAATGTAGTTGACCACTTTCATAACTGTATCCATGACAGTCCTGAGTTTTAGAACACTTTTACAGAGGACCTCTTGAAGAAAAAAGCAATGTAGAAAAATTATGTTCTGTTCAAGATTTGTTTCTTTGACTTGGTCTTGAATTCATTTCAGCAGTCCAGCATGTTTGCCTGTCAGATTTGGGCTTCCATCAGTGGTCAAATTCACTAGTTTTTTCCACTCCACTTTTAATTTTGACATGCATTGATTTACTGCCTCCAGTAAATCTTTTCCCATTGTCGTATATTTCATTGACTGCACTGATGGCAATTCTTCTTTGAGCTGAAAATTTTGGGTGATATCTTGAATGAAAATCAGTAATTGGGCTGTGTCTTTGACATCACAACCCTTGAGTATCATTGCAAAATATGAGAAATGAGAAACAGAATATAATGATATATCCCAAGAAAGAGACTGTCCCCTTGTAGCTGTATAGATTTGAGATTTAGATAAAATGCGAATAAGATGTACCTGGAATCTGAAACGTGTAAGGTCTATCCATAAGCCTCCATAAGGGTTTATATTTTCATGAGTCAGAAGACAGCAATTTCATGAGAAGAAATTCCTGACTGAAGTGTTTAATTTCCTTCATAAGACAGTCTTTCATCATATTCCTTGAAGATCTGTCCCCTCAAGGTGTAAATAGAAATGTTTACACCCCAAAAGGACTAAGGTGCCCAGGGGGAATGCAGATTATGTCTGTGTGGCATAATGAAGTGCCATTTAGACATATCCAAACTAGCTCTGAACAAGTTAGTGTGGGTACCAGAAGTATTGTTGTGTTTGTATGATACTCTCCCTGGGATAAATAGCTCTGCTGAGTCAAATGAGTTAGCATCTTGGCATGTCAGTACATTGTGCTAGGTTGTCCCAAAAGCTTAAGAAAAACTGACTATTTCAAATTTTATGATGTTTAATGCTATTTTTTGTTTTCCAGATGACTCAACTGAGCACATATGTAGTTCATAAAATCACTTTCCTCATGCAGTTGTTTTTGTATCTATGGAGCATTTCAAAAGCTTGAATAGTTCTGTCTCTTAGTTAGGGTTATTCTCATGTTCAGGGCCATAATGTTTTGGCTTTTGCCACTTTCACTCATCTCATTGCTCTAAAGGAATGAAGGAACAGCTGGGGAGACCACAAAAATTGTACACAATGTCTGCCCTGGCCACATTATTGTGTTTGCTCAAAAGATCAGACGGTGAAATAAAGGGAGCATATGCACAAACAGAGAGCCCATAAAAATCCTTTCTCATTCTTAAGGCAAACACCCAACTTACTCTGTTTTCATAAGTGACTATTTAACAATGAGCTTAGTCAAGGTGCACATCATTTGCTCACAGACCACTGTGAGTAGCTGAAAAATGGGTCTGCTTCTCTGAGTGGAGAAAGACATGCTCAAACTGAGTCAGTTTATCCCATAGATGACATTTTATACCAGGCTTTGCCTGATCATGTAATAATACGACAAGTGGTGAGAGATTTTGGATTTCAGCAAAGCCTTGTTTACTGCTGCACCCTGTAGCTTGAAAGCGTTCAGAGTTCTGTTGTGATTTTGGCACTTAGCTATTGCATATCCTACATATGCATAAAATCCAATGGCTGTAACAAAAAACAAACAAACAGAAAAACCCCCTCCAAATCACGGCAGAAGTACCATCAACACTGCCTGCGGAAGATCCTCTGAATCCAGTGGGTAGACAGTCATGCCAACGTTGGCATCCTCTCGCAAGCAAATGCCATGAGCATTGAGGCAATGATCATCCATCATCAACTTCGCTGGGCCATCCATGCCATCTGGATGTCTGACTCGAGACATCCATAGCAAGTTTTATTTTCTCAGCTCAGTCAAGGTATATGCTCAAGTGGAGGGCAGAGAAAGTGCTTCAAGGATGTCTTTAAGGCCAGCTTGAAAACATGCAACATTGACAACTTATGGGAGACTTGCCCAGGACTGCCCCAAAGAGTCTATTGCAAGGATCTGAGTACTTTGAAACCTTACAATGACAACAGGAGACAGAAAAGTGGAAGTGGCAGAAACAACACTTGCAAACCGAACCAAGAAACCAGAGCGGCCCACCCCGCATGGAAACATGTGGCCGAGCTGTAATAGAACCTGTTAATCCTGGATTGCCTCATCAGCCATCTTTGGGCATAGATAAAAGCAATCATGGAAGATAATCATCCTCAACTGTGAGGGATTGCTGTTGCTGATGATGGTATAAAAAAAATAGTGATAGAAAAACAACTATGTATGTTTGTTACCAAATACCAGTTTTCAGATACCATTGTGATGGGTGCGGTATAAATAACTAGATGGAACTTTTAGCCATGAACTGCTGAACACTTTTACCCATGAAACTCTCTGTGGCCCAGTGATCACCCATCCCATCCCTCTGTTTTACATCAGTGTGCCAACTCATTTGGCCCTGCGAGCTGGATGAGTCATGCAGGGCCAATCCATAGGCCATATCTGGCCCACAGGACTGGAATTTAGGAGAGACTGCATTAATGCTGGAGCTTCCAGAGCTGCAACAGCCACCACTTCTCCCAGCACCAAATTTCTGGCTCTGCTGGGCAGATGATATAGCTCCACACTCGAGATCTGGCTCATGGGGCTGGAAATTTGGTGGCTGAATGAAAGGCATCAGCATGAATTGCCATGACTCTAGGAGCCATGGCAAATAAAGCCACCTCTTGTTACACCACCAAATTTCTAGGCATGGGTGGAGCCCCTTTGGTTAGATGACATGGTTCTGCAGCCTGGAGCTAGCCTAGAGACCAGATCTTGGGTCAGCCTCTTTTTTGTTATGCAGATCTCTTGGACCTAATTCTTTTCCACATTTACCATGATTTTAAACTGGTTTGAGGGAAGAGTGAAGGGAGGAGTGTGAAGATTTATAAGCTCAAGGATTAGTCCTATTTGAGAAGCATGAGACTGCCATGATATCACCAAAAAAGGCTTGTGAGCCATGTGGTCAGTGACCTCTTCATTAGCATATGAATTTTTTGTTTGCTGTTTGGGAGCACCATCAAGAAAACTAGAAGTTATAGTGTATTGTAAAATAATGTGCATATGTGACCTTGGTACAGTTTTTATTGTTGTACAGACCTCTCTGTATGAAGGGGAGAGAGAGAGGACTGTGGAATGATGAAGCTTATTTTTTAAGGTTTGGTATGATGTAGGCACACAAAATTAGAAATGGCATTTCCCCACCCAGCACACACATGCACATGTGTGCCATACCTTTAGGGCAAATCGGCAAAGGCTGCCAGTTGCTTCAACACTATCTGGATTATGTGAGCAGCAGACTGGGAGGAGCTATGGAAAATCCTGCTCCAAAAGCACTTCCATTTACCTTTAATCCCCACAGGTGGGGGCATTCTTGGGGATAGCACTGCCAGGCCTTGGGTCTGTGCAGAAATAGTTAGGGATCTTCTGTAAGGGCTGGATGTTTTTAAATTTGCGGGCCCTGATGCCCGCCACCCATGGGTGTTGAGAGAGCTGGCAGGGGTCATTGCTGTGCCCTTGGCCCGGCTGTATGAGTGATCCCGGTCCAAGGGCCAGGTGCCCGGAGTTTGGAAACTAGCTAATGTGGTCCCCATTTATAAGAAAGGGAGAAAGGAGGACCCAGGAAACTATAGGCCCATAAGCCTCACATCGGTCTTGGAGAAAATCCTTGAAAAAATTATTAAGGATCGCATCTGTGAGGGGCCAGCAAGGGAGATCATGCCCAGGGGAAATCAACATGGGTTCATCAAAGGCAGGTCCTGCCAGACCAACCTGATGGCCTTTTATGACCAGGTAACTAAATCCCTGGATGATGGTGTTACCGAGGACATAGTTTTTCTGGACTTTAAGAAAGCCTTTGACACTGTCTCTCACCCCAATCTCATTAATAAATTGAGCAACTGTGGCATCGATGCCTACACAGTTGGATGGGTCAAAAATTGGCTGATGGGGCACACCCAGAGAGTGGTGGTGG